CAATTTCAGAAGTATGACTTATTATTTCAAACCAATTCAATGATCTTCGATTTTGTGGAGTAACTGAATGGAGATGGTGAAGATACAGGAAGTTACATAGTTATTAAACACTGTGTAATCAATGTATGGATCTTAATTAAAGCTACAATACTGCATACAGTATACAAGTGATTACCTGGAGTTTACCTGGAGAGAGTTCCGAGGGTCAACGCCCCTGCGGCCCGGTCTGTGACCAGGCCTCCTGGTGGATCAGAGCCTGATCAACCAGGCTGTTACTGCTGGCTGCACGCAAACCAACGTACGAGCCACAGCCCGGCTGGTCAGGAACGGGCAGGCAACAGATACGTTGTCTGTAGAAGTAGGTATTACCTGGAGAGAGTTCCGGGGGTCAACGCCCCCGCGGCCCGGTCTGTGACCAGGCCTCCTGGTCTGTGACCGGGAGAGAGGTTAAGTGGAGAAGCTGAGTGGGGAGATTGGTGGAAGAGGAAGGAACAGGGTTGGGGAAGTAATTTTTAATACAGTTACATAAATTATCATACAAAGCAGCATATGTATATTACCAAGGATAACCCCCCAAAAAATCAGACAAAGTGACTTCTTTCCACTGGGAGATGGGGAAAGGATTTGTGGAAGGGGTTAATGAGTTCCCACTTTGCTGCTCCTCACATTGATGATCCATTATGTGAGGAAAATGAAAGAATGGGTAATGACACCCTTTAACCCGTAAACGGTCCAAACGTATATACAGTGGACCCCCGCATAACGATTACCTCTGAATGTGAACAATTATGTAAGTGTATTTATGTAAGTGCGTTTGTACGTGTATGTTTGGGGGTCTGAAATGGACTAATCTACTTCACAATATTTCTTATGGGAACAAATTCGGTCAGTACTGGCACCTGAACATACTTCTGGAGTGAAAAAATATCGTTAACCGGGGGTCCACTGTATACGTTTTTTCAACATTTGAAAGTATGTAAAAAAAGTAGATCTTTTTGTTTTGTTACATTTGAAAATGTGTAAAAAAACTTTGATCTACTTCTTTTTTTGTTATATTTGAAAATATGTAAAAAAAAAGTAGATCTACTTTTATAGCACTACACACGTGAACGTAGATCTGCTTGGACCGTTTACGGGTTAAAACAAGGGATGCCAAGCCAATGATGATCCTCTAAGCTGCTTGTTCTCTTTCGGCTAGAATACTGCTGTACACTAACAGCCGCTTTTAACCCTCTGACTGTCCATCACATAGAACTACATCATTGACACCAGGAGTCAGTCAGGTAGATCTACGTCATGAGCTCGGCTCACAGGTTGTGAGCGGTAAAATTTTAGCCTATATATCAGAGAAAGGGTCTGTGTGGAGTGAACACAGTATAAAAAATATCCTGCCTCGTTAGGTACATGATAGGAAAAGCAAAATTCTGACCTTGTGTTTGGTTTAAAATAACAAATCTGAGTTTTCTAGGATGATTTGTATGGTTTCACTAACCGGTACTTGGTATCATTTGAGAGAATGGAAGACATACTACTGAAGTAAAGATAATTTTAGTTGGTTCCAGGGCTGGAAGAAGCTTGAAGTCCGCCTCAAAGTAAAAGAAATAGTCGATTTTTGCAGACATTACTAAGAATGGGTAGTGGCCTCCCCTTTATCCCCTGGTCTGTTTTATGGGCAAGTATTCAGATTAAGTCTGTGTCATTTAAAGTCAAAGTTATTCTTGAAAATGTCCAATATCAAATGGATTTTGCCATGGACATTTTTATATTGTATAAATTGTAAAAAAAATATGCAAGTTGGTATACCAAAACCCAAAATAACCCAATCTCAAATACCTAACATAACTTAATCAACATTGCCAGCGATAGATATGGAACAAACTTGTCTTGGTTTATGTTTGCTGTGATTGAGACACATGAACTGATTATACTGTTGATTGACATTGATGTGGCATTCAAAACAAAACATAGGTTTTATTTTTTGCTAATTGCTCTCAAAATAATTTGCATAAGAAATAATGTACGTCAGGGTGTAGTTACTTTCCTACTGTGTAAAAAAAAGAAAAATTGAGGGAGTTCTCGAAAAGAGTAGCTCTAGCTATTAACCCTCAGTAGCAGTGTTAATATCACAACTGAAAGGATCCGGGTTCAAGCTCAAGAAAGGGAAACAAGAGTTGCAGAGAGATATGAAGATTATTTTATTTCATCAAAATTGGAGGGTTTGTAACCCAGAATATCCCAAGGCCAAGCAATGCGACTCATTTCCAATGAGGGCCTTTGGTCCTCTTCCCCTGGATGAAAAACCCCACAAGTCAGTTAACACCCAAATATGTATTTACTACTAGGTGAACAGGGGCAACAGGTATAAGGTAACATGTTCAACATTTTTACTTGAGGGTTTGTAAGTGTTTAACAAGTTAAGAGCCATAGGTACTACCACTTAAGCCACACATGCAAATCCCACACCTGCTGTCCTTGTCACCAAGCAATAAACATAGGAATAAATCAATTTTTGAGGATGAAGACTATTTGAATGAACCCCAGATCGCTGATAACCTAAATTACCAAAGACAATAGTGCAGTGGCTTATTTCCATTAAGCTCCTTAGGTCTTCACCAGGATGCAACCCACAAAAGCCAACTATATTAGCAGTAAGTATCTGGGAATTAGTCTAATGTTGTGGGTCACATCCTGGACAAGAGTGCAGGACCACAATAGAAATAAGTCTTCAATGACTCACTGACTTTCTTGGGTTATCCTGGGTGACTAACCCTCCCAGTTAGAAATCTTAACAAATCGTGTAAGCTTATTTAGGTACAGGTACACGGTTACACAAATTATCATGCATAGTAACATTATGCAAAAATCGTAAACAAGCGATACAAGATGCAAAACAACCACAGGCCTTTTGTGTTCCAATCATTTAACTCCCCCTGTGGATGTTTTGCACATAGTAACATGTCAATTACTGTTAACATAATTTCAATATTTATTCTTCAACCTACTGTCCATTGTAGACAGGAATAAATTGAATTAGGTTTCACAAAAAGCATTTTTGAATATATGAATATATCCTATGGTTTATATAAATTAGATTCACCTATAATTAATAGAACTACTGTACAATTATGATTAATTTCTTTAGTGTTAAGTAGTCAGTAAGCCAATAAATTAAATCGACCCATAATGCCTAGGCATAATAGCTCTCTTTGCATTGCAACCCATTATCGTAAATAATCTCAATGTACTACTTGCAAATAAATAAATAAATTTGAAATTTGAATTTGAGGTGTACAGGGGTAATAACTGATGGGTGACCTGCCCATGATTAAGCCAGGATCCTTGGCAGGATTCACACAGTTAATAATAATATCTTTATTTCTACAAGTACATGTACAAGGTATACAGGCCTAGCTGACATCAATGACGTACATACTACTACATAGAAAGCCCCCTTGTTATGCAGAGCATTTCAGGCAAATTAGGTCAGTTTTGTCCCAGGATGCGACCCACACTAGTCGACTAACACCCAGGAACCCACTGTACTGATGGGTGAACAGGGACAACAGGTGTAAGGAAACACACTCAATATTTCCACTCTTGCCGGGAATCTTACCACAGACCCTCAGATTAGATTTAGATTTTGCCACCAAAGTGGCTAGTTTATTGTGCACCCCATATCCATCCTGTGGACGGTAGCACGAGAGCATATGGATACACAAAAGGCCTAGGAACTAGGCCCCAAAGGGTTAACAGGAATACATAACTTATCTGTTACAAGCAAATTTAGGAAATTTGCTTAGTATATCTGGTATCTTATTTTCATTAATAAGATATCTTGACATGTCACATAGGTTATTATACTGTGTCTCTGTATTCCCGGCCCTCAGCGTGTAAAGAGAGCTCTGCCTACCAGGCCACGGGCCACCCAAGTTACTTAGTCGTTTTAATTTTTAACATTATCATCATGATTTCTACTGTATCTTACAGTTAAGCTTTCAATAATAAGATATTATGAGGACCTCAATGTGAATAAGTTACTTTTTTTGGGGGTCATCCTAGGTAATTTACACATATGTTACTATAATAATTTGTGTAACTGTATTCATGTGTACCTGTACCTAAATAAACATGTTAATCCTGGGGAAGGACCTAAGCTCCCCAATGGAAATAAGCCAGACTGCATGGTTTTAATGTGTCTAGGGTTATTACCCTCCAGAGTTAAGAATATGCATCAAGTCTTCTTCCCCCAAGACACTGTATGACCCGTACAGACTTAGCACTCTCCCATCCCCCCCATTAAATAAATAAATTTAACCTCGACGACCCAAATGGAAAACTAAGTCGGTGGATTTTTTGGGGTGTTATCCTAGGTAATTTACACTACATGTATGTATGATAACTGGAAATAAGTCAGTGACGTTTTTGGGTTATCCAAGGTAATTTACACTGATAATTGTACTTGCATATACCTGTGCTTAAATAAACTCAGCCACCAAGCCCCCTGGCTCGGTGGCGAAAGTTCGAGCTTCACACAGCGAATGGTCAGGGTTCGATTCCCGGCGAGGGTAGAAACATTGGGCGTATTTCTTTACACCGGTTGTCTATGTTCACCCATCAGTAAAATGGGTACCTGGGTGTTAGTGGACTGGTGTGGGTCGCATCCTGGGACAAGTGACCTAATTTGCTCGAAATGCTAAGCATAGCAAGCGGCTTTCTATATAGTAGTATGTCAGTGATGTCAACTATGTCTGTATACCTTGTACATGTACTTGTAGTAAAAGATATTATTATGACTTTCTGAGCCATGTGGACCAAGACATGCAGCAGCAGCAGCCACAAAATGCCCTACACCAAATTTTTAAGATAACACACACAAATAACGACACTCGTAACAGAGCTCTCCTGCAGCTCACAATACACTACCATTAACCACTAGTAACAATAAAAACTATAACCAAGCCACAACACTGGTAAAATAAGGCAAGAACACCTTCACTCACCCTCCCCGGGATTCAAATGTTCCTCGCCCCTCACCCCCCTCTATATCACCTCGTAAGTTGCATTTAATCATATTTCGTTTCGGTTTTATGTATATAGCTTACATTTATTACTATTTTTTTGCTCACATATATTTTGTTTAGCAAGGCTCCTTAGGCACATGAAGCACCTCATGTAATAATAAGGTATAATAATAGTTTCTGAAGCTTTATGATGATATTATTATTATTAACAGTAATGATTAATAATGGCAATAATAATGATGACAAAAATAATAGTTAACATGTCCATGCACTTTTACTGGGAGAGAAATCTAATATTTTATATTATATCAACCATGTTACCTGAAGCTCAGGAAAAATATTTATTGTGACATTTTTATTTAAGTGATAACAGACAAAAGATGAAAATCATTTACTTTAATCATTTACTATTTAATTTAATGGGTTGTGTAATGTATTATTATTATTATTATAATCAAGGGGGAAGCGCTAAACCCGGAGGATTATACAGCGCCTGGGGGGGGATGTGGAAGGCATTCAGGCTTAATTCAGGGAACTGGAGCACAGATCCAATTTCCTAAATCAAGAGCCCCTCACCAACATCAAGGAACCTTCCTTGAGGGTTGTGTAATGTAGACAACCACATTTCATATGTAACTTTAATATCAGCTCAACCTAACCAAGCCTAACTTTGACCAATTGTAAATTTGCTATAATATAATATTTTTGTGACCCACTTCATGCTTGCATAAATAATTCTTTTCGTTTGTAATCAACATGTAAATAGTTAATTATCACTGTAACTTGTTTAGGTGTAAAAACGTCGCGGTCCAGTACCTGAACCCATTATGTGTCTGCAACATTTTGATTATATATTGGTAGAATTACCGATAATATGTAAAGTAAAATGACACAAGTGCAACTAATGTTCAGAGAACAGACATGTTGATAAATTAGACACATGTGTAACTCTTGGGGGTCTTTATTGAGGAAACGTTTCACCACACAGTGGCTTCATCAGTCCATACAGAGCAGAATCTTGAAGAACAGGAGGAGAATGAGGTAATCAGTCCCTCAACCTTGAGTCGATGTGGTCAGTCCATCAATCTTGAATAGAATACGGCATAAGTGTGGAGAAGGAGCTTATAAACCGTAGGCAGGAGAGGTGCAGCAGTCCGTAGTGGTGTCACATTGTTCAATGTGAAGTAGGTCCGTGCCCAAGGGTTAGGCAAGCGGGGTTGTTTGCCCCTAGTAGTAAGATCCCAAGAAGTTGCAGTGTCTGACAGGATTGTAGATGAATGGTTCAGAGAACCGACATGTTGATAAATTAGACACGTGCAACGTTTCGCCACAGTGGCGAAACGTTTCCTCAATCAAGATACCCAAGAGTTGCACATGTGTCTAATTTATCAATGTGACATTTTATTGTGGCAACGTTTCGCTCTCCAGGAGCTTTATCAAGCCGTTACAAACAGTACATGGACACAGAGGGTATATATAGGCTCAGAGTGAGGTGTAATACTAGTGGTAGTAGTAGTAGTGATATAAGTTGTAGTAGTAGTAATACAATATGGTAGAACAATTAACTTACACATGAGTAAAAGGATATAATAGCTATTACTTGGGTAATAGCTTTTATATAATAGCTTTTGACATAATAGTTATTACTTGGGTAATAGTTTTTATATACTTTTACTCGTGTGCGAGTTCAATTGTTCTACCCATATAGTATTACTAACTACACTACTGAACATCAAAAATGGTATACAATACGACAGGTTGTTAGGTAAGACACATCAACAGTTAGACAACTTATTCCGAAACGGTTCGCCTACACAGTAGGCTTCTTCCGTCCGAATACAGAAAGTAGCAGAACAGTAGAGATTGTGAAGACGAGAACTGATTACAGCGGGGGGGCTGCTCTAGCGCGACTGTTCCTGCCTACTTTCTGTATTCGACTGAAGAAGCCTACTGTGTAGGCGAAACGTTTCGGAATAAAGTTGTCTAACTGTTGCATATGTGTCTTACCACACTACAACTTATATCACTACTACTACTACCACTAGTATTGCACCTCACTCTAAGCCTATATATACCCTCTGTGTCCATGTACTGTTTCATGTTCTTTTTTCGGTCATCGGTCAGAGAGAACACTTCGACAGTGAGAAGCGATCAAGCGACTTAGCTCGAGTGGTGACGTGTGCTTACCTAACACATCGAAGATCTCGCCTCTCTCGAAATTACCCCGTGTTGAGTAGTGCTTTGAGTAGTGCTTGCTGGACCTTCGTCTTCCTCTCCACCATCAGGATTGGTGCGTCGGTGGTTGCCGACCGAAGGGCAGGAAGCCTCTTTGCTGACTGAATTCTCTTTCGCCTGTCGACTGCACGACGCATACAGCCTGTCCTCGCCAACCTACTCAGGATATACAGTGCTCCATCAAGCTACAGTTTCACCTCCTCATGTCCTGCCCAGGCAAGTACGTGCTGTCTACTTACACGTACTTGCCTACGATACTCTCACTTTTGCCGATTTGTCACCTCCAATATATCTTTTCGAATTAGACGAATGCTTCGTTGCCTTCCCACCTCCCACCTCCCCTTCCACTCTTTCTCCCCAACCTCCCACAGCCTGCCTCTGCTTCTACTAAATCCAAATCCTTCTCGTCTAAACTCAAATTTTCTAATCGATGCACTACGTCCGGAAAATTTATTATATCAGATCATGTGCACCTCAACTTAAAGTCTCAAAAGCCCAACTCAGGCTTCAAAACTCCTTGCTGACAAACATTCCTACGAAGCGTACACCTCAAGCGATACCAGACAAAAACTTCTCAACGCAGCTTCACCATTAATTTGGACTCCTGAGCACCGTGCCAAAAGCACAGGTCATTGCTAAACACGTAGACTACTCTCTCCTGACAGCCATGACACAGACAAAGAAGACTTAATAAAAGATATCAGTACTAAGAACAAAGTCTCTGTTGACGATATTTACAGACCAAAAACCTCTAAACCATTCTCAAATAACGTGTTCTACTCTGCTGACGCCTCTACACTCTTCAGTCAAGGAATCTTGCCAAGACCATCCGCATTCCCTCCAAACGCTCTCTTCACTCCGAACTTCCACCCAAATCTCACAATGTCTTAAATGCTACAAATTCGGCCACGACAAAAACACATGCACATCTAACACAATCTGCCCAGAATGTTCAGCAACTGGCACTTCTGGAATACTTGCAACCTCCCCCTTAAATGTTCTAACTGCGGCGGGTCCCACACACTGCAGTTTGCAAATTCTGCCCTTCTAGAAAGCACATCTCTCCACCCCTCAGAGCAAACCAACCTCCCTCCCTACCCAACCACCTTCCCTGCTCTCCCTCCCCTTCCTTACCTCCCCTCCCCTTCCACACCTCCCCCCTACACCCAATGCCTGCCTCCCCACGCACTTGGTCCTACCTCTTCTACTCCTACACACATCAAACACCAACACAAGACTAAACAAGCACTTCCCTTCTACAACCCACACTAACTACAAACTAACTGTCAACGTGCCACTGCTGCCCACTCTGCGATGGTAATCTCACAACTTACCAATCAGACTACTCATATGTTCCTTAAACCTAATCTTGTCTGCTAACAATCTTCCCTCTTTAATTATCCCTCCTTCCTGCTTCTCTTCCAAGCCTCCTACAAACCTCTCCCTCCTTCCTCTCTCCCCCCCCGCCCCCCCCACTTCCTACTCCCACCAGCTCTCACCTCCTCCCTACTCACTTCACTACTTCTACACCTCCACCAACTCCCTACTGCTACTGCTACGACCAGCCCTCCCCCACTTCCTTACCCACTTCATCCCTTCCAAAGCTTCCACTTCCTCACAGCTTACCAAAACTCCCACTTTCCTCTGCATCCCCTTCGCCCACTCCACCCACAACCAAAACCTCATCCAGGTCCAACTCCACCTCCTCCAGACAAAATCCACTCAAACCTAAACCTACCCCAACTTCTAACGGACAGACCAAAGAACATAAAAACAGAAGCCATCTCTTCCTCCCCCTCCAGGAAAAACGGGTCCGGTAGTCACCTACAAACACACATCCACTGATGGCAACCACTATCACGGGCTCCTTTAATCCAAACTCCTCCCCCGACATTAACTTTGCTAAGACGAACCATTAAATCACGTTTTAAGCGATTCAGTCAACGTACGTTCTTGACTTTACAAATTAAACACCTACTTGCCGAGCTCGCTTTGAGCATTGAGCCCAGATTTGTTTTCTAAACATACCTTCCTCAAGCCCCTCAATGTATCCGCCATTATGGTTATACTGCGCTACAGTCCCCCTAGTGACCCCCACGATGGGGTTGCCATCCTCGGTCAATTTCCACATAAAACAATGAATTTCTCCCAATCCGCTTTTATTCACCACACTGTCTTGCGGTCAGAATACACACCCACCTTGGCCCCTTATCTTTTCACCACCTATTGCTCGCCCAAACACTACTCTCAAAATACAAACGACCTCATCCTTTGTCTTCAATCTACACCAACACACCAACTTACCTACTAGCTGACATGAATGGCCAAACACACTGCCTTTCACAACACCAGTAACAACCAACTTGGTCACTACCAATTACTCAACTTCACAAACCTAAACACCTAATTCATCTGTTGGACCCAGAACTTCAATACCTTCTTCAACCACACTGGCCAAGGCAAACCCCCAGACATCTTCTGGCAAACCGAGCCAGCTCCACTATTTCAACATTACATCTCACCTGGCTCCTATTACAGGCTCTGATCACATCCCAGTCATCTTACACATCTCCTCCAACCCTATCCTCATTCCAACCACACCTTCATTCTCCTACAAGAACGCTGACTGGGATGCTTTCAAACAACACATAGACAATATTAACCTCACCTATGACTACAACAACAAACCTATCTCTGACATCGATACTCAACTTGATCTCATCCAGGACACCATTACACAAGCAGCCAACATCGCAATACCAAAGAAACTCACACCACTC